GTGAGGGTCTCCCAAGGGTGTATACGCACTATGCCACCCCAAATCACCTCAAAACATCAAGGGAGAGGCCTAGTCGGATCCACGACCATTAATTACGCATCCCGATGCATGATGGCCAAAGATCTAACTTGTGCAAATCAATATGAAAATGAATGCACAAATAAAGCAAGTAAAGCCTAGAACTCTATCATGAATCATCAAGAGCTTCGGCGACCGAGAATTGAGACACGTTCCATCACTCGGAGTATGAAACGCCCCTCGTTCCTCGTGTCCGGATTAACAGTTAATCCAAACAACAATGCAATGTAAGGATGGCAAACATGCAATGCAATAACTCGAACATGCAACAAGTATATGAGCATGATGCGATGCAAGTAACATGCAATAGACATACAATCCTAAACATGGAAACATGCATAGCATGCAACAACATACAAAATGAAGCAAGCATACAACAATATGCAAGACAAGCATGCAACACCATGCAAGGTATAGACTTAAACCAAAATGAGCAGACCTCAACTAAGCCCAAATCAGTGGCCAAAAGTGATGAATTGATGGCATGAAAAGCATGAAATGGCAAGGCAAACATGTATGTCAAATGGCTCAAGTATTAAAGCACAAAGATGACAACTCTTAAGCACACTTAAGGAGCAACAAACATGGGTATATGGTAATGAGGTAAGCTCTAAAATTTCATGTAAAGTGATGCCAAATCAAATCAACAATGCAAGCATAGCATGTTATGATGCTCAAAGCTCAAAGTAAGCAAGAGGACTTAAGCCAAGGCCATACAAGGCAAACCCCAAGGGGCCGAGGGAACCTAAAACAGTCCTAGGGCAGGTCCAAACAAGACCAAAACTAAGCTCAAAACTAGCCAACATAGGCTAGAACACAAAGCCAAAAAAACATGGAGCATGCAAGGCTTTAAAAAGGCAATGCACTACACCTATTGAAACCAAACATGGCATGACTTGGGCGACATAAAATAGAGTTACATCATGGTATAATAAGACCCAAAATGCACTGAAATGATGAGCCAAAGGCTTAGGCTTAATGACATGCACAAAAGCTCATTCTTGAGGCATAAAGCAGAAGCTCTATAAAACATTCAAGGCATGTCAAATGCAAGTGTATGACAACATTTCATGGACTGAAATAGCATATGGAATGAGGGCAAAGCATGTAAACATCACATGTATGGCATGGTAGGGGCCTCAAAACCCAAGACTAGCCTAAGCATTTACACTATAGCTATACAAAGGACGAGTGATATGGCCATGACAGCCCAAATAGTCCTAGAACAGCCCAAAATAATCATAAAATCATGTTAGAGCGAAGCTAAAATATGCTAGGATGATGAGTCAAAACACCATGCACAAAGGGCTAGTAAACAAGATTTGTTCTACACCTATATGTAGCATGCAAAGGATGATCAAACCAACTATGGATAGGGTCATGACATGCCAAATGATGACCAAATACATGCTGAAATGTAAACCAAACAAGCTAACATGACATGGCAAAGCATGGAGCATATGAAGCTAGTTTAGGGAATTTACATTACAAGTACATCATGCAAGCATGGAGTGACAAAACCAACCCAAAACAGATTCATGGCATGGTAAAACATCACCAAAAATCCACTGAAATGGACTCAATACAAGCTAAGCACACATGCTACTCTGATGAGCTATGAATGGAGTTACTCAACACATACAAGATGCATGTAAAATATGACCAAACCAGCCATGGACAGGGCCAAAGCAAGTCCTAAAAGTCACAAAAATAGGTCTAAACCAAGCCTCAAAAATGCATGGAGGGATGGTCCTTTGGAAGGCCAAAAATACAAGTAAAGAGGAACCAAAAGAGAGGGGGTCACCCCCTCTGATTAAGGACCTCAGAACCACACCTTTACCACTAAAAATTCACTGGATTTCAGTGGTAAGAAGGCCAAACCAAGGCTAGCTCAGAGGCCTCAAGGAATGCCTTAAAACAAAGCCAAACAAAGCATGCAAGGGGGCTACACACCCCTGACAACAAAATGACCTTAAGCAAACTTCAAAAGAACTTAAATACAAGACTTTTTTCAGTTATAAGCAAAGCCCAAATCAATATGCAAGGAGGGCTAAAGTGAGGTACTAGAAGGTGCAAAAATGGGGAAAATACTCACCCTTGAAGACCCTCTTCGAAACCAGCAACTTTAGGGGGTGGAAACCAGTTTTCAGAGCTCAAGAATCCCTCCCAAGAAGCTTAGTCCAATGGTGGTGGTGTATCTCTATGTGTTGTAGTGTAAAAGTGCAAGGAAATCCAATTTCTAAGCACAAAATACAAACAATATAGAGAGAATGAGAGATTTTTTTCTTCAAAACGGTTAAACCTCTGGCAAAGAGGGAGGCCTCTTGCTTATATAGAGGAATGCAAAGCCAAAGCTTCTTCAAGAAGCTTTGCAAGGGCTTCATCCCTCCATACACGTGTATGGAGGGGAGCAAACAAAAATCCAGCTGGCTCAAAAGATCTGGAGGAAAACCAGCTGAGACAGGGCGGATGCCGGCCATCATCAATGGCCAGCAGTGGCTCACTGATGGCCGGCAGAGCATCACCAATGGCCGGCAGTGCCATGCCAT